CCCCGGGCAGGACCCGCAGCACTGGGCACTGCTGCCCTCGGCACACGTCTGGGAACCTCGGAGATGTGGAGAGCAACTCCCCATTCCCAGTCTGACTTTGCTCAGGCAAACCGCAGCTCCCTAAGGCACATGATTTAATCTTTCAAAGGGAACAACTACCTCCTTATTTATAAGTAAATTATCAATAACACTGCAGCTGCATAACTGGTTTCTGGAACAAGGGCCTGCTGGCTCACCCCATATTAAGCTAGGCCATCCCCAAGAAACTGAGAAAACCCTGGCTAGAAGTGATTAACATTTCGGATTTCATATATTTCTCAGTGTGTTGCAATGAAATTCTAGCAGTACTTCAAATATTGCAGAGTGTATTGGTGCATTTCCATGGCCAGTAGGATTTAATGCTATTTTATATGTTTCATTTCCCCATTAAGTATGATTTTTAACATCTCTTTGAGTTGTCATTGCTTGCATGCTAAGAAGAAAAATAGGCTGAAGTTTGTTCTGAAGGGTACTCATCTGCTAAGGACGAGGTGAATGCAGTTCAGAATGAAGCCATCTGCCCTGGAGGGCTTTGCTATAAGAGCGAGGGCAGCCAAGCCCGGCCCTCACCTCACACTCCTCTTCGCAGTGCAAGCACCTGCAAATCACCTCCCCCTCACTTGAAAGAACAGCAGAAATCATTTCCAGGCAGAATCCCTGCATTTACACTTTCTTGGTTCAGAAAGGTACACAGGATATTAATCATCAAACTCTTTGTATAAATTAAGAATTATTTGCATTGATGTGCAATTCTTTTCATAGAATCATAGAAGCATAGAACTGGGTTGGAATGGATCATCTAGTTCCAGCCCCCCTGCATGGGCAGGGACACCTCCCACTAGATCAGGTTGCTTAAACCCCATCCAACCTGACCTTGAACACTTCTAGGGAAGGTTCCTCCACAACTTCTCTGGGCAACCTGCTCCAGTGTCCTACCACCCTCACAGTAAATAAATTCTTCCTACTGTCTAACCTAAGTCTATTATCTTCCAGCTTAAATCCAGTACCCCTCACCCTATCACTACACACACTTGTAAAAATTCCCTCCCCAGCTTTCATGTAGGCCTTTCAGGTACTAGAAGGCTATAAGGTCTCGTTGGAGCCTTATTTTAACTTCTCTTCCCCTAATTAATGGACACAATACAGGCATATTTTTAATTTATTTTTTTTTAATAACCTATCTAAACATTGGGGAAATATAACTTTATTAGCACAGTACTTTGTCTAAGCACATGCATATTCTAAATTTTTTGCTCTTCTGCCCTACTTGAATGTGAAAGTCCAAGTTGTTTTAAATCACTAGAAATAATTAAGAATAGTATCAAGATACTGAATTAGGGCAAATTATATTGTGAGAAATTTAGAAATATTTGCAAGAGTTACAGAGATCATTCTAATTATTACTGATGTGGGTAATGCTGCTGCTAATAAAAGCATTAATTCAGCTCATAAATACGCTCTGTCTCTTTAATTACAAATACGTATTTTTGGAAGGAAAAGGGTTTTTTTAGCTTGCCAATGTAAGCAGTAATTCTTAGAATTCTGATCATATTATTCACACAGGTTATTTGTACTGCTCAAGCAATTAATGGGAACACAAGATGTGTGGTGCAAATCATGTCTTTCTGTATGTCCACACAATATTGTTCAATTAGTCCCTTCACCTCACCCAGCTGACTAGCAATAAATGTCTTTTGGATGCATTTGTGTATATTTGTCTAATAAAGTCCTTGGCGTGAGCTGTTCATTCAGCTCGGCCGCATATTAGAGAACACACTGAAGGTGAGTTCTGCTGAATTTAAGAATTGCTGGCATTTTCTTGACTGAACTACATGTGCTTTAACTGCAATGTGATTCCACTTCCCATTTAACCAATTACGTGGTGCCCTAAAAAGGAACATGCTCTCTCTGGTGTAAAAAAGAAGCAAAAAGCCCCCATGACTCTTGGGCTGTGTTTGTGTTAGGAATTGGTGCCCATTTGATGCCCAGCTGGAGCAAAACTTCCAATTTGTTGTTTGTTTTTTTTATTATTCCAAGAGGAATGGAGTTTGTGTGCCACAGCTGCTCTGCCAACACAGCCAACATGTAGTACCTACGGACAATCAGGGGATTCACTTGTGGGCAGCAGTGCTACTTCAGTCCAAAAGTTAGTGTTGACTCAGCCAGAGGTGTTTGTTTTTGTTAAAAACATAATAGACATTAATACTGCTATCATCACTAGGTATTAAAAGCAGCAGCCTTATGTCTTGGATAGAGTAGGCGGAAACAAAGAAGTTTAGGAAGGGCCTAGGAAGCCTGAAAAACTCTGTCAGAATAAGTTTGGAAAAAAAGATATAGAGTCCAATTTTATCACAACTGGGGCATTAAAAGGTTAGTAATATAATTCCTTCCCTCTTATTTCTTTCTAATCCTTCTATTAAGGGCAGTTACTCACAGTGCAGAGAGAAATGGCAGGTATCCCTATGGTGGTTTTTCCTACCTCCTCTTGACAATGTTAAAAATCAACATAGATGTTCAGTATGATAAAAAAGTAACAGGCTGTAGCAAGATGGACATCAAGAGACACCATTTCCAGGTGGCTGGATGTGTGTTTTGTCAAGCGTGGATGAAGAGGCTGGGCACAGGGGAGCTCTGGGGTTCCCTTGGCAGCCCTGGCTGCAGTGGGAGGGAGCAGTGGTGGCTGCACAGGAGCACAGCAACCCCAAATCCTCCCACATGTGATACAGCTGCTCTGTCTCTGCTCAGTATTGCCTTAGCATGGCTGGCTTGGCTTGTCTTGTACAGAATCCAATGGCAACTAAAACATTAAAAATGAGATCTTGACCTAAATTTTTGTTCTCTGCCTGCTAGAGATGGAAAGACACGGCTGGGCAGCAATCACCGGAAAACTTCTTTATGTTATTCACTCTGTTGCTAAATTATTATC